CCCTCACTCTCTCTCTCTCTCTCTGTCAGTCTGTCAGTAACACTAAACTTAATTGAAAATATTAATTAATTTAAAAATTGCCATCTTGTATATATATATTTCATTATGTTATAGGGAAAGGGCTTTACATAAGTTGGACAACTTGTGCCCGATCCCTTTTGTATATTAGATGCAAATAAAAATATGTTTAAATCAAAAAAAATAATATTTTTTGCTTTTTTGTGAATTCTATTTTTCTGGTCATTTATTGGTCATCCACGGTTTGTCATCTGGCCGGATAGTTATCAATTTTGAAGGTATACATTTAACAACTTGATCAGAAATAGCTTCAGTAAGTATATTATTAAATTCTTTAGTGTTGTTTGTTTGTGAGATTGCTAGCCAGTCTATTTCATTCAAAGACATATTCATTTTCCCAAAATCTGCATTTTCATACATCAGATTTTTTTTCTTGTATGATCCATGTTTAAAAACTGAATAAGAAATAATAAAACTAATAGGTGAATGGTCACTACACAACTTTGGACTAACTAATGTACTTTGAATCAAACGACTGTTGTTTGTTAACAATTCATCTAGTGATGTAGAGCTAGAACAAATACTAAATAAATGAATTATCATTATTTACCGTCGTGTACAATGTCAACAACTAATATGAGCTCTGTAGAGCTTTTATAACGACGCGGCTAAGGTAACAAATCAGATTTTCGCGATGGAGAAAAAACCACAAGGAAAACCACGGGCGGAAACCACCGTGCCATCGTTGGGATAACAACTAAATATATCAGATATCACTCTATTTTTCCGCCACCACATGGGATCGAACCGGAATTCTTGGGAGAGTGAGTGGTCTGAAGCTCACGCTTGATTAGCGATGACGGCTACTGAGGCACCCCTATATTGTACATGTTGATCTTTAGCTGAACATCTTGATATTAATATCAACGTTTTACTTTCTACACAAACAATTGTGAACAAAAGCCTTAAACACTCAGTCATTGCTTGTCAAAGGAACCATTCGGTCTTGAAACGTTACGACACGTCTAATACGTACATTGTTTGTGTAGGAACTAAAACTTTGATATTACATATTTCCAAACTATTGAATCTTATGGAAGAACTTGATATTAACGTTCATTATCCAAATATGGCAACTATAAATAATTCCTGCCTGTCCTGGTTCTATTACATAGCACAGTCGAATAGTTACTCTCAGTATAAGGATTCCTCGATAGAAGTGCGACGATGACCAATGAATTAGTAATTCTGGCTTGCTATTGTCTACAAAAATTAATTGCTTGTTCTAAGTACCTGTTAGATTGTGTATCCAAAATGCTGAATCACTTTGAGTGTCAGGTTCTCGTTTATTTACAAGTTAGCAATCAGTGGTAACCATAGATTCAATTACATATGCATAATACATGGTGAAACTCGCATATATTTAGTTAGAAACAAGCAAACAAAAGCATTGATTGTAGACCATTTGATGAGTCATTTTTGTAAAATGAATAGTCTAAAAGAAAATGCAACCTTGAATGTAAATTATGCACGAGAGTACGAATGAAATGTGTTCCATATTCTCTTTGATGTGATGGAGCTAATAACTAAATTTCACTTATTATATATTATTCAAACAACGCCGTAACCGCATGCGTTGATAACCAGAGGATGAATAAATGTGTGACTTCTTCTTTTTTATGTTAAAAGTGACGATTAATTGCTTTTGGTTTTTATGACCCTTGAAATAAAAGTCATAAGATTCCTACACCTTCAATTTTTAAACGACAATTAGTAGCTATCATTGTTTCAGAAATAGCGACAAAAAGACTGAAGTTTGCGCAGGTGTGCCATTTCGACGAGAAGCGACGGAACTGATGCAACTCTTAACATGTTACACTAGTACTTGATGTAGAATGAAGTGAAGGGGAACCATATCAAAGAGAAGTGACTCTTTTACCGAGACCATGAAAACATTTGTTTTCCGTCATTTCATTTTGATATGGGCGAGTGTTCTACAATTCCTCGGGGAGGTACACGGTGGTGTATACATACAGTACTTACACGAAAACCAATACAAATTACCATCAGCATATCCTCCGGAATATAATTCTATCTCCAGATACCTATCAAGTAGTCTAGTCTGTTTGCTTAAAATTTTGTTGTGCTTCCTCGAAATTCCAGGGGTTAAGCACACTTCCGTTTTCTGCTCCCCTGGAATTTGTCATGACGGA